TCCTTTTCCATTTCCACCTGCAACAACTTGACCATTCTGTGCTCCATATTTCCATTTAACAATACGATGATTACCACTGTCAGCAATATAAATAGTTTGATGATCATCATCAACATAGATGGCATAAGGATAAGACAATTGATTTAGTTGATTGCCTTTTCCATTTCCTCCAGCAATAGTAATTCCAAGTTGTTTCCATTTGGTGTTGATATTAATATGATTGACAAGAGTTAATTGTCCTAAAGGAAGAAAGCTTTTGTTTATATTTGAATGAAATGGATGAATAAATATGAATAAAAAAAAGTGTTATTCTAAAATGTAATAAAATAAAAATGAAATGAAATACAGTGATGTTTGTTGATATAAATCTATGTTAAGATAATAATTTACTATGAATGATATTCATTATTGTAAATTTAATTCGAATTAGACAAACAGAATGAAGATATTTGAAAGAGAATATTTTATTCTTTTAAATTTTCTAATTTTTTTTTCCTATAAAATTAGAAATTTTATTTCAATAAACTTACTGATAGAATCGTCTGTTTTATTAATATTGGGATGGATAGTTAATTGATGTGGCTTTTTGGATACGAATAGTTTTTGACGATTAAATTTACTAATAGAACCATTTGTTTTATTAACATTAACATTAGTAGCTAATGGATTTTCCTCTCTGAATGTAAGTAACTTTTGACGCCATTTCATACTCATATCATAATCACCTCTCTGTGATGCCAGTTTACCAAGATCCTCATATAAACTGATATGTAATGGATCATTCGATGGAAGTTGTTTCAATGAACGTGTAAAATATTTTTCAGCTAAATCAAATTTACCCATTTCCCATAATATATTTCCTAATATTCGAAGATTCACTTCACCACTTTCGATTTGCTCTTTCATATACATAAGAACTTGTTTTAAATCATGTTCATCATCATTACATAAAGTCATTTTAATGTTCCATATTTGATCATCATTACGATTAATATTATTAAGACGAAAAATGGAACCAATCATAAAGAGAACTTCTGATTCATCTGGAAAATAACTATGTTCACTAATATCAGCAAATGGTTTTGTAGTGACCAATTTAGGATCAGCATCAATTTCAAATAATACTCGTTCTAAATCACTCTTTGTAGTTATATCACCTAGGAGGAAAAGAGCTGTTGTACGTTGTTTGCTAGTGGAAAACATTGAATTTATAGAGATAAACTGGCCAGTATTATTTTTAAGACCATCTAACTCATCGATCGACATTAGCTGACTTCGATAAACTTCCAAAGGATGTTTAGATTGAGATTTTTGCAGTTGACGATAAATATCATAAATAAATGATCGGAATAAAAAAATCATATGAATATTTTGTGTACGTAAAGCTGCATTAAGAGTTTTATAAAAGAATGTTTCTCTTGTGTACCACCACAACACTTTATTAGGGGAATATTCTTCTTCAAATTCATGAAGATTGTTTAGTTCAGTAAAATTACCTGCATATTCATTTTGACAACAATTAAAAAGTTCATTTCTATCAATTTCATTAGATTTTAATCGTAAAAGACAATCAATGAGAATTTGAAAAAAAACAAATTGTCCATTAACTCCTGTTGTTGATTTCCCTGCATCAACACTTGTTGTGAAAGTATAAATTGGTAATGGTTCCTCTACCTTTTTCTGATTTTTATGATCTACTTTAATTTGAGAGACAAGTTCATCAAGATCAACAGCAACAGACTTGACCTATGGGAAAAATGATAAAATGAAATAACAACCTTTTAGCATAGTTTTACTTTTGAAAACTTTAGAGCCCATTGTTCATTGTTCTTCTTATCCATACAATAGACATAAATTGATATAACTTGTCGAAGTTGATGAATGTGTGGTACTATTTCTTGTCCTAATCGACCACTAACGATAATTGCTAATCGATCTTTTTGTGATGTTTGTTCAATATATTGTTGACATTGTTTTATATCTTGAAATTTCTTAATATGATTAATGATAGAACGTAATTTTACTTCTGTTTCTCGAGTGTCTTTAACGTTTACATTTGAATCGAGCCAAATAAGTGAGAATATTTCCAGAGACTTATCATTGGTATTTGTGTAAAAATCATCATTTGGCAACGCAGCAGTGGCCATCTTAGTTTAAAAGACTAAACATAGCACAGAGTTCTCAAATGTTATGTGTTTTTTATAGTCAAAAAAATAAGGGAACATTTTCTCTATTATTGTTTTGTTTATTTATGATATTCATATGTCAGTTTTTTCAAACTTTGATGTAAATCAAAAGAATAAAAGAATAAAAGAATAAAATGCTATTATTGATGAAAAAAAATGCCACTCTCTACATGTAATGCCATCATTCAGTGAAAGGATGGATCGATCAAAGACATTTGATCAAAGTGCAAATCGTGATAGAGAAAAAAAGAACAACAGTCAGGGTCTCAATCCCTCGAACGACTCTGTATTTGCATGTTTGTCCACATAAATACGTAAATAATATTTCTGAATGTAACTAATAAGAATATTTATGTATACAACATAAATAATAATATTATCTGATATTAACGTACCTTAGAAAACGAAGCGACAATCAACAAAATATTTGTAAAGAGTTGGTTAGGAAGACGAAAAATGAGTGGATTAAGTAAAAAGAAATCTTTTATCTGCGCGATGCTTTTCTCTGTTCTTTGTATTTGTATGTAACTGCGCAAAGTAATTCTTGTTAGGGGTATTACTTTGTCTTTATTTTATTTTATAAATATAGAGGTTTGTTTTATTTTTTTATAAAATAAAGATAAAGTAATACCCCTAATTCTTGTTTGTATTTTATGCTAGCTCTTATCAAATCATAAAAGAGTTTATTACGAGCAAATAAAAATGATAATGTATTAAACTAAAATGTGTAGGTGTGGGTGTATCTTATTTATCTCAAATCCGCCCACCCCAACACCCAGCCACACCCACACCCGACACAGTTGTCTAAACTCGAGGTTTTATCTTTTAATTTAATATTGATACCAAAAATGACTCCTAATGTCAAAATCATGATAAAAAAGATAGTAGCAAATGCTTTAATAACATATCGCTTTGAACAGTATTGATTTATACTATGGAAGAGATGTTTCTTTTCCACCTGAATTATTTCAACGTCAATCTGTTCTAAAATATTTACTGCGTCTTCATCTACTGCACTCATTATAATTTTTGATAATTGATTTTCTTCATCATTTATAATATCATCAATTCTGAATATAGAACAAAGACTAAATAAAAATTCTTTTTCATCCTCCATCTGTGAAAACTGCGTAATATCAGCAAATACAACATTATTCGAATTATAATTAGTTCGAATTTCATATATGACAGATTTATCTTCAGTTGGCTCAGATCCTGAAAATATTAGTGCAACATTGTAATCACTTGTAGTTGATAAAAATCCATTGAATGACATTAAATTACCAATATTCTCTTTGATGTTTTCAAATTGATCCATACGCATATTCCCATGTCCACGAAATACTGTTAATGGTGTGTCTGATTGATTTTGTTTATGTAAATGTTCTAATTGTTTACATAAATCTTTAATATAAGGTCGAAATACATTAATCTGTTCCATATCTAGGGATCTCAATGCTTTATTGACCAGTCGATAAAGAAAACTATCTTTTGTATACCAATTAATCGCTGTTGCAGATGTATAGCTATTTCTAAATTCTTCAATCTTCCTTCTCTGAGCGTTATCCTTCCGATAGCGTTTTATGCATTCATCAAGCATCTTTTCTCTGTTATTTGATGACCATGGATAATGTTTCAAGATTTCAATATATTGTTTATATAAATTAAAGTCTTGGTTATTATTTTTGAGACTAAATATAGGTTGTAAATTTCGATCCATAAGAAGAAAATCTGTCGATGGATGTAATTCATTTTCAATTGATTCCTTTAGTGATTGTTCATCAGTACAAATATCCATTATTTTTCGACATTCTGTCAGTAAATATTGACAATTAGTAGAATCTTTGCAAAATATGAGTATTGACGATATTTCTCGTAATAATGATAAAGATAATTTAGGAAGCATTTTCTTCGCAAAACTTCCTGAAGTAATAACTATAAGTTTCGTTATTTTAGACATACTTCCAATCTCTTCAAGAAATATTTCCAAATTGTTGTACAGTTTGTAGTTAATATCTGCTATACTTTCAAACATAGCGATTGTCAGATTGGTATCATGTGAATTTAAATTCAATGCTTCTTCATCTAACCATATTAAAGTATTATTGGTAACGTTGTGGCTTGTGGTGGTAGTAGTTATTGTATTGAGATCTTCATCTTTTAATGGATAATATGAATAATTATTTTTTTTCATCGTTGATATAACTTATCAAGAAAATTAGAAGTCAATGTAATAATAATCTAAAACATTTGATAAAAAGAAAAAGTGAGAAGTATTGATATGTTTCTTTAGTAGGAAACTTCTCTTATTATTATTCTTATTTTTTATGCATACAAAAAAATCACCCATTTATTAAAAAAAAAAGGAAGAGAATAAAAACGATGCGCCTTCAGTCACACTATTTTAACGAGAATGATTTTACACTAGTATTTTTCTTTGAGAATCAAACACGTTTTGATATCAACAAATATAGTATGGTAATGAAAAAAAAATATGTTAACCGTTGTTTACATAAGAAGAAAAAGAAAAAAAAATCGATGATCACAAACGATGTGTAGTTTTGTACTTTAATAAGTAACGCCTGCAAAGAGATAGAGTAATTTTTGTACATCTTTTTAAAAATTAAAGAACAGATAGCTCATACTAACTGGGTGTGGGTGTGAGTGTCTATCATTCTGTTCTTTTGTATTTCTCCGAAAGGAAACAATGTCTCGTTGACTCGATTATTTGATACAAATATTCTAAAGTCGCCAACTGATTTTATACGCAGTATTGGTATAGTTCAAGAATATTTTTCAGAGAGAAAAAGTAGCAAATACTAATCTTAAACTAATTTTTAAACAATAATTTGAATTGTAATACTATATATTTAGGTCACGAACAGAAATTTTTAGTAATCGACATAAAAGATTATCGTTTTCTAGATACACAAACATTTTGTGTCATTGAATTCTGTATCTAATCCATAATTGATAACTTTCATATCAAAACCACTTTCAATCACTATGATCCATTTCAAGATTTGAGATGGACTTTTAACACAGAATTCGTCATAGCGTGGATCAGGATGACAGAAATAACTTGTATCATGTGTAGACCACCAATCATTTTTGCCACGATATAAATGTCTTTCTTCTGGATTTAATTTCAGCACATATAAAAGCGCCATGACGATTCACTTTTCGTTCTGTTCCTTCTCTTGATTGAGCAATTAGCATAGCTGACTTGGGATCAGTTTGATGAAATCCAATATAAAGATTTTTTCCAGGCGTTGTTTGTTCAAGATCAAAAAAACGTGGTTGTGGATTATAACCTTTGAAATGAAATATGAAAATATGTTCCAAATCACGATTTTTACATTGAGGACCTTTCGAACAAGCTTTATCACCAAAACGCATAATGCAATTGTCGCCCAATAATATATAAGGAATAAATCGTTTATGTTTAGATGATAATGGTTTATTTGGTATTTGGAAATCTTTCTCGATTAAATGTGACTTAAAATGCCACCATACACGATAATGATATAGCAACAATAACAGCCAGACTTTTTATTGTTATAGTATGTTGAACAGCTAAATAGTACGCTATCATTGCAATTCGAACACATGATACTAATATAATAAATATGAATTGTAATTTAAAACGTAATCTGGTACGTGCACGATAACAAACAGGGACACATACCTATGGGAATTACGAATAGAGAAAGTACAACGATGGATAAGATTATTGTTTGAATTGCACCAATAAAAAAGAGTGTAACAATAATAATCATATTCATAGAACCGATTGTTTCCAACGGATTATTGCCTGGATGTTCACCTTTGAAAAATAGGTCTTGATGACTCGTACTAACAAGCATGAATAATGTTATAGTTAATACTGTCTCAAAGATGACAATTAGGCCATGAAAATAAACACGTGAACGATAAAAACAAGAATTAGAACATATCTTTTTTCTATTCTAACAGTTGAAATCTACAAGATTTTACTATGTCTCTTTAAAATAATAAATGGCTTATCTATTGATTTATGAATAGAAAGAGAACGAAACCCTTTTATTATCAGAGTAAAAGAAATACATTATGTTTGTCATGGATAAAGTATTCGTTTTCTACGAAAAACAATAGTATTAATATGACTTTTTTCAATTCCAATTAAACAAAGTATCCGTCTATGATCAGCAGTGGATATTTTTGATACTATTTCTAAGACAGATTCAAGAGTACTAGTAATATTGTTGAGATCATATAGATATCATCAGATTCCGCATCCTCATCTTGAGTAACTGCATTTATTTATCAAGTCACAAAAAGCTAAACCGATCGTAATATTCAAAAATATCCGACACATGGAGGAATATTTGTCTTTCTTGGATTCTTCTGTTATTTTCTCTATTCAACTATATGTCTGTGAAATATAATCAAAAACAAATATTTATCCACTTCAAAATACCTTTACGAGATAAAGACTTTCGCTGACTTACACATTTTTACAATCTCTTTTATTTATTGTATGTATAGAAATGGCTGAATGTGAGCACATACGCGTTGGTCGAGAATTTTTAGAAAGTGTTTCATGGCCTTCGGCATTTCGTCAAGAAGCTCATGATCGATGTTATTGTGAACGATGTTATCCGCCGCATTTGAGAGATACAATGGATGTAGCTAATTACACATATGTCATACCACGCGGATGGACTCGGTTTGCTATATCGGTTGATGAAGGCTTTTTTAACCATCACAATGTATGGGATAAATGGCTTAATTGTTATCATGGAACATCTATTGACAGTGCCAAATCTTGTCTTGAACATCGACAATTACTTTTACCTAATGATACTACCATGCATGGCAAGAAACTGGAAATACGAGAAGGTCATATTAAAGGAGAACATTATGTATTTACAACACCATCGATTACTTATGCTGCACTTGATTACTATGCTCATACATATCACTTTCAATCACCTTATAATTCGCAAATCTATACTATAAAAGTGGTATTGCAATGTAAACAAAAGCCTGATTCTATTATTGTTCAGCCTGAAACTGTTGACGCACGTCGACAAGGAATAAAAATATGTCGTTACATCCCAAATGACAAACTAGAATGGAAAACACAGCATCGTTCAACTGTTACGATTTATGGACTACTACTCGAGGTAAAGCAATATCATGTACACAATCATTCAAATTCATTTCAATATCAACAAATACGCAACACTCAGAGTATGTGTAAATCAGCTTCACTTGATTCATAATATCATAAATTCTATGACACGGTTTAAGCTATCATATCTTTTGTTCGATAGATGTGTCCTATGAGCCAGTAACAATTTCACAAACGCCATCACCACCACCACCACCACCATTTAAAACAAAAGTTAGTACTTTATCCAACTCAGAAAACATATCTTCACCTACTCCAGAGAAGACTCATCGAGAACCAATGTCAAAAAAGCGAATAGCATTATTAATTCTACTAGTCATAGCAACTATTCTACCAATATCTGCTCTAATCTTTGGCCAGATATACAAAAATGATTGTCCAATTCAACCTTGGATTCCACGGTGGATGACTATTTTTGGAGCCGTAGGTCTGGCTACCTTTGGTTTGCTTTTTATTATAGTAAGGCTTATATCTATCTATTTTTAAAAATCATACGATTTTTTTAGTTACTTATAACGTTTAAAAGTTGCTCTGATGACATTAACATTGGAGGTTGTATCAGTGGTTGTGTCTCATGTTTACTAGTATTCTTCTTTCTCGGATGGTTAATAACGGTAAAATGCACACGACATGTTATTACTATAGATGATATTTTAATTTTAATAGGGAAGTGTATGGGTATTTCCTGCTAAATCGAAAGTTCAATACAATCAATACAATGATACAAACTACTGTCAAGAAAATCTATATAAATTCACATTTGGGTTATTGCTCGCACAATATTCACTGATTGGTCTTGTCATATGCTGTGGTGGTATTCTAGCCTTATTGGGTTTATGCCTTGGCTAATAGTATTAGAAATTATAAAACACATAGAAATAAAATTTGATTCATATTATCTGTATTAAAATACATCTAGAGGTTCACAGCAGTAGATGTGTCGTTAAAAGTGTCATATTACTATTTTAAATATTTTCACGTACTCCTATAGAATTGAATAAAGAATAGTACCGTATTGATTTTCGAAATTCTAGTCGCTGAATACATTCAACATCATAATTGAGGGTGTCGATGAGTGTGAGAAGATAACAATATCTACACTCACCCACATCTAAATTCACCCTCTTTGGGTTGCTTAAAATTTTACTTTCGAATGCGCGCAGTGCATCAGATATGTTGCTTGTTGCTTTGTGTTCTAAAATAATTTTATAATAATCTGAAGTTAAAACTATATAAGAGATGACTGTTACTTCTATTCTACTCATTTCACTTTTTCTCCGAATTGAATAATATTTTTATCAGTCTCTATTGTCGTAGAAACATAAAAGAAAAGCATAAAACAGATAACGATATTGATGGCAAATAAAAAAAGAAAATAGAAGTATGTTATTAAAGGTAAGATAGGAATGAAAGAAACCACCAAAAAAAAATTCGTTTTATGGTGTTCTTTATTACAAATGGTTGGAAGAACTCGAGGGCAGGTGAGTGCAGGTATCAGTAGTAGTCTACCACATAACCACATCCACACCCTCAAGATGGTTTCCCTTCAATGATCAAAATAAAGAAAATGTTGAATCTTTCCATTCAAAATTATAATGAAGAAAATTTTGACTACATTAAAAATCTTCGAAATGAAAAATCTAATTGGAATTTTGTATCAATTAAAAACTTTTATTATTTTTTCATTTATTTTAAATTTTTGGTTCATTTTCCTCTCAAAATTCTTTCTTTTTTGTTTTCATCTATACGAAAGTGCTCTTTGATCTATTTTGATAGATCATTTTTTCCATTCAATTTTGATTAAAAATACTTCAAAAAAATAAAATTGGAAAATGATAGAATTTGTTAATTTATTAAAGAAGAATCTATTCAACACTTGTTTCGTTCGCTAAATTTTAATTCGATTTTTATTATCAATTTTTCTTGTAACAGTTTTTTCTTTTCAATTTAGAACAATTCTTAAATTTCATCAAACAAAAATATTCAAATAGAATTTTATCAAAAATAAAATCATCTTTTTAAATAATTTGTTATTTCAAATCAATTCAAATTACAAAATATTTTCTGAATTTTTTTAGTCAAAATTATCAAATTAGATTCAATTTCGAAGGAAGAACAACTATAAAAAGATTTTTCTTCGTTCTTTTCTTATCAATACATTTCTGTTTCTTTAAATTCTATTCGACTTTTTGCATTCATTTTCAATAATAAAACTTTATTTTTTCTTTTATTTTTATTTCTTGATTATTTATTTAACAAAAACATTTCATTTACAATATTATTTCAAACTTTTCAATGCGATGATTACAACAATCAGCAACATAAAGATTTCCTTCATCATCGAAAGATAAACCACGGGGACCATCCAATTGATTTCCTTTGCCATTTCCATTAACAACAATTTCACCTTCTTCTTTTCCTTCACACCAACGTATTACTCGATGATTCCCCCAATCTGCTACATAGATTTGACCCAAATCATCAACAATTACTCCTGTAGGATAAGATAATTGATTAAGATTTCCTCCTTGACCATTTCCTCCAGCCACAATTCTTCCTGCTTTTGCACCTTTTCTCCATTTCATCACACGATTATTGTGAAAATCTAATACATAAACAGATTGTTCTTTATCAACAAAGATACAAGTAGGAGTATTGAATTGATTAAGTTCATTCCCTTGTCTATTTCCACCTGCCACTACAGTTCCTTCGTTGTTATATTCACCCATTTTCCATCGTTGCACCTCATTCTTCTCCCAATCAGAAACATAAAGAAAACCATGTTTATCCATTGCCAAACCATAACAGTCAATGTTGTGAATGAGAATTTGTTGATTTTGATTCGTCCATTGAATCACCCGCTTGTTTCCATGATCAGCAATGATGATCGAATGAGTTTGTTGATTAATAATTACATCTGTTGGATAATTCAAGTGATTGATTTCGTTTCCTCTACTATTTCCACCTGCAACGATTTGTCCTTCCTTTACATTACATTTCCATTCAACAATACGATGATTCAACCAGTCAGCAATGAAAATATTTTTCTTTTTATCAATAAAGATTCCAGAATGGCTATCGAGTTGATTTAATCCTCGTCCTTGTCCATTTCCACCAGCCACAGTGATGGCATTTTGTTTCCATTTGTTAAGTTTTGATACTAAAGAATGATGAAAACAAAGATTTTAAACAGAAAGAAGAAAATTTATTTTTGATCAGAGAAAAAGGAAAGATTAATTTCGATTGAAATTTCGATTTTTGTTTTTTCCTGTTCTATTTATTATTCAGTTAGAAATTATTTGGTAAAAATTTACTTTTCGATGGAATAATTGAAATTTCATTAATAAATGACTGTGAATCTTCTTTAATAGAATTCGTCGATAAATTATTTATTTCTTTTGTAATTTGTATTAATTGATTTTCTAAATAATTTAAATTAATTTCATTAAAGTCATTTTCGCTATGAATTTGTTTGATTTGTTCAGATAAATCATTAAATTTCTTTTCAATTTCATCAATAAATTTTTGTGGATATTCAATGACAATTTTTCTACATTCTTGTGCTTTTTGTTGAATTATTTCAATTGAATTTCTTTCCCATTCATCAATTTGTTTTATTAATGAATGGCTCTGTGGATTTTGTTTTTGTTCATTAATTCTTTGTTTAAATTGATCATAGTCATTAATAATATAATTTAATTCTTCATTTAAGTTTTGTTGATGTTCTGTTAAATGTATGAAACAAAATTCTTTTGAACATCCTCTACAAAGATATGTTATTTTTTCTTTACTGCATGTAAAACATAGTGTTTTGTTATTAGCCATTGCCATATCTTTGAATAGAAGTTGATCGAAGAAATGAATATATTTTTATCTGTTTTTATAAATATAAACTTAATTACTGAATGATAATAAAAATATCGCTCGTTAGTAGAAGAAATCGAAAAAGAATTTTGTCGTGACAACAATTATTAATTATAATGAAATTCCGCTAATAAAACTGATGTAACATCTAAGATGGTCGGACTGAAACTGGAAATTGATTTGTTTCTAATTTCAAATAAAAATTCAAGTCATTTTTATGATATTATTTCATGGAAAGAATGTTTTTATGTAGCTAAAGATCAAAGATAGATTGGCACCTACAACCTTACCCTTCAGATTAATAATATATCAATCTCTCATCCACTCAACTGTGTCGTTATGTTTAATTTTATGGTCATTATTATTGCTCTAGCTCTCAAAAGAATTATTGTGTGTTATTGTATTTTGTTAATTTTTCATATTATTTTAGAAAGCAGACTTACTTAAATGAAACTATTTCAAAGAATTGAATTTCTAAACTTGTGATGTTTTGTGTGTCTCCTTTCAACTATACATTTGATTTGAAAAAGAGATCAAACAAAACATTTTAGGTTAAGAAGAGAAGAAAAAAAACACGTTTTATTTTTGATGAAATAGATTTTTAGTGCTCCGGAACGAAACGAGATTGAAAAATGAAAAGTAAATAAGATGAAGAAAAGTAACATTTTAGAAAGTTGAAAATAAAAACATTGATAAATAGAAATGATTTAAATGAAAAGTAAAGCTATATTGGAGTAAACAAATAAGATTTAATCATCAAAACAAAAGCATTGTAAATAATCGGATATCTGAAAAAGGTTTTTCTATATATCTCAGCATAGATATATAATAGAAGTTTGATCTTCTTTTTGTTAAAAGATTCACTAAGAAAAGCTGCAGAGCAATGACAATAGGAAGTATCTGCGATGATTGGAATTAATGATCGTTTTCTCAATTAAAACAAAAAAACGTTACATAATAAAATGAATTTAAACGATTATCACATATCTATATATATGTCAAATAAGATATTAAATTAATTTTTTATATTTTGAATTTTTTGTCTGAAAGAATTTTTTTTAAATCTAATTGAGTTTATTTTTATTTTAAAATATCAAGAATTGTTTAATTAATGTCTTATAGATGAAAATATTGTGTAATATCGAATGAATAGTTTTTGTTAATTAAAATTCAATTTTATCTAGTCAAATAGAAATTCTAGAATTCGTCAATGAGTTTTTCACGTATGAAAATTGTTTTTTTTTCTCAAATATAATTTAATAAATTGATTCTTGATTATATTCTTTCCGATATAATCAATACTCTTTTCGATAAACTTATCAATAATTAATTTGATTAGATAAGAAAGTAAACATTAATTTATCTCATAGTTCTCATTCGATTGAAAAGAAATAATTGAATTTTTGTTTTTCTTAAATTTTCAAAAATGAAATCTAATAATTCAATTGAATAAATCTGAAATAGTTTATATCTCTTTTCTTTAGTATTATTCAAATTATCTTTGCTATTGCATAAAATTTTTTTAATTAATTCAATTTAATTATTTTTTATTTTTAAACAATAACATTAAATCATCATCATTCATACAAATTCATCTTTTAGATATTATTATTCAAATTATCATCAACTTGTACAATTTTATAAAATAATAAATAAGATTTTTATCTAATCATGATTTATTATTATCATTAAATTTATCGAGTAATTTTTGATTTTTTATAAAAATAAAAAAAGAAATTATTTTCTTAATCGTTTTATATTAAGAGTGTGGGTTTAGGTGTGGGTATGAAGTTGATATAATATTCAAACGCATAGTCACATTCACCTACTCACTCACAGCCACACCCTCAAGACCTTCTTAATCTAATTTTTCGGTTTTGACAGATTTCATTCTTATTCATTTATCTTTTTTCTTCTCTTTTCCCTTTCTCTCAATAAATCATAAAATCACAAAAATAAATCTAATAAGACTTCTATTTACAAGTTTCTTTTTATTAATTTAAATGCTTTTCTCAATTCGAAAAATATTTTATTTGATTTTTCTATAAAATAAATTTTGTCTAATTCAGTTTTCTTTAAAACTCTTCTAGTTTGACTTATACAACTAAAATTCTATTCGAATAATTTTATTTATTTCGGTTTCTTAATTTAAAAATCAAAATTAAAAAATGTTTATTTACTTTTCTTCTAAAAACGAAAAACAAATTTATTTTTTTATTAAAAGAAGTTTTCTTAATTCATTTTCATTTATGTTCTTCAAGATTTTTCATAAATTAATGTTCTTTATTTATTTTCAGAAATAAAAATCCAGTCTTTATCAAACTAAATTAAAAAGATTTTTAATTTCGAAGTTTTTCATATTTTTGGATTCGATTATTTTCATGATCAGCAACATAAAGATTTCCTTCATCATCAAAGGATAAACCATAGGGACTATTCAATTGATTTGATCGATTTCCCCAGCCATTTCCACCAACAACAATTTCACCTTCTTCATCTCCTTCACACCAACGCATTACTCGATGATTCCCTGAATCTGCTACATAGATTTGACCCAAATGATCAACAATCACTCCTCGAGGATAAGACAATTGTTTGAGACTATTTCCTTTACCATTTCCACCAGCAACAATAATTCCTTCTTTTGCATCTTTTTTCCATTTCATTACACGATGATTCCAACAATCTGATATATAAAGAGAATAATCTTTATCAATAAAGATATAAGTAGGTTGATAAAGCTGATTAAGATGATTTCCTTTACCATTTCCACCTGCAACTAATTCACCTTTTGTATCTCCTTGTTTCCATCGTCTTACTTCATGATTTTCACAATCAGAAACATAAATAGATCCATTTTTATCGATTGTTAGACCATAACAATTAATATTTGAAATAATAATTTGTTGATTTGTTTGACTTTGATCAAAATATCGAATTATTCGTTTATACCAATCATCAGAAATAATACTTTGCTGATTTGTTTGATTTTTACCAAAATATCGAATTACTCGTTTTTTTTCACGATCAGAAATAATAAAAGAATTATTTTCTTTATCAAAAATTATATCTCGTGGACCATTTAATTGATTATCTTGATTTCGACTTCCATTTTCACCTGCAATGATTTGACCAGTATTTGAATTCAGTTTCCATTTAACAATACGATCATTCCAAGAATCAGCAACATAAATTGATTTATCATTATCAATAAAGATCCCTTCAGGATTATAGAGTTGATTTAATTTCTGTCCTTTTCCATTTCGTCCAGCAACAGTGATTCCAAATTGTTGAAATGTATTCTTTTTTGTTTGAATTTGTTCTAAAATAAAAGAACTTTCATTTTATTTAAAATCTTTTTATTATTTTTAAATCAAAAAGGGACGAAAATAAGAAGAAAAACTTGTATTTGAGTTTGTTTGATAAAATAAATTTTTTTCGTTAAATTTACTTTTTAATTGAACAAAATTAATTTCAAAGAATTTCTTCAGATTTTTTAATTAAAACTCTTTATTTGATTTTTGTTAAAGTTTAATTCAGAAAAATATTTTTTTAAAAGAAAATCATTTTTATTTCAATGTTTTAAATAAAATTCGTTGAAAACTTTTTTTTATTAATAAACTAAATAATTCTTCTTTTTGAAAATTGTAAACTAAAGAGTTAAACTTAACTTAAATTTATTCAACAATTTAAAAACAATCCTTTTTTATTAAAATACTAAAAGAGATCTTTCAACTAAAAAAATCTAGAAATTTTATTTATTCTCAGAAATTTGTTTAGATTTGAATTTTCTATTAGAATAAATCTTTTTAAAAACAAATAAATTAATGATTTTATAAAAAATATTTAATAGAATAAATGATTTTTCAAATTATTTACTAAACAGAATTATTTTAAAATAAATATTTAAACTAAAAAATGAATTGAAAATATTAATCGAATTATTCTTATTAACATAGATAAATATTTTGAATAAATTCTATAGATGAAAATATGATATTATTTGTAAAATAAATTTTATTTTACTTTTAATAATAAATTAATTAATTAATCAAAACAGAATGGAAATGCTTTTGAGGGTGTGGGTGTGAGTGTGTGTGTGGGTGAGGATGTGTGTGTGGGTGTAGCTGATGATAAGTACTCTTTTGACTACACTCACACCCACACCCACACCCACCCTTCCAAACCGACGTCAGTATCAATTCGATCTCATTTGATCTCGACTTAATTCGTTTTCGAAAAATCCAAACTGTTTATCTCCGTTAACAAGATATTTTGACATGTGTTTATCATAGACTGTTTCTTTTCGAACTATCATAATGTATATATACCTTAAATGTATGATCTACCTATTAATTTATTAAAAAGAACTTGAAAAGAATTCAGTACTCACCTATTGATGAGTTACACAGTATTTCAGTTTTCCAAGTCGAATCGTTCTGCAAAATTATTGTGAAAAAGAACTCTTCAATGATTTTTATCTTATTATAATATTTATCATATAATGGACGATTCTTTTTATCAATATCTGTTGTCCGTGATTATTATAAAATAATCATAAATGATCACTTGTCATTATAGATTTGTTCTAATAAAAAATTTGTCAATCTTCTCGAAAGTTGAATATTTCTATATTTAATTATAATTACACAAAGATTTTCTAGTATAAATTAGTTTTTGCCCTATGCAGTACAAATGAAGTAATATAATCCTTTCCTCGTTAAAAGTTTCTTTAAAAGCTTACTGTTTACCTGAAATGCGGTTATATAAACAAATATTTCTGTGTGTTAAAATGGAAGTAACATGTGGAATTTGTTTTGATTTTGATTCTTGTATAACTCCATTAGTAACATCAGATAATATCATTCGAATATCATCATTAGGAGTTTTAATGTATTTGAGAAGATGTTTTGTAAACAAACCATTTTTTTCTCCTTCTTTTCCATCATTTGCTACGGTTCCAGGTGCACAAGCAAATACAATTAATGATCCAGCTTTCACTGACATTGGTGTAAGACCTTCTTGATGCTTTATTGGTTCGCCTCTACCACTTTGTTGTAATTGTTGATCAGGTAAATCATATGTTCGACAACAATCCAAGAACAACATTGTAACAAATGGATGTCGATCATGTATATTATTATGAACCTCTTGTGCATTAATCGCATATATTTTTAAGTCAGAGCCACTAAGTTTAACTTTCTTTACAATATTATCTTTGATCTCTTCTTTATAGTTATCGGATGGAATTAAATAATTGTTATCCTAATTTATGTTAAAAGAAAAACTACTATATTTCGAAATATTCTCCTTAATCTTTATACCTTCCATTGTATTCCATGTCCAGCATAGTAAAACAAAACCATATCTCCCCTTTTTATTGAATGTACAAAATCAACCAAAGCATGATGCATTTCTTTGCATGTTGGATTTAATTTTGGAGCCCCTTCATGAAGAATAAATCCAATTCTTTCCAACTCAAATGATATCTCTTCTGCATCATTTATTGCATTAGGTAAATTTCTTCCATTTTCATAATTACTAATGCCAATTACAAGTGCTAATTTACGTGGTGAACCAGATATTTCTGAGGTAGCCATTAAGAATAATGATAATCTGAAAATATAGGTGAGATATTTGAATGAAAAGAGATGTATTATTCTATGGTATGTTGAAAGAGAAAATTTGATTGAGGGTGTCGGTGTGTGTGGGTTTGAATGCAGTGTGAAGACAATACTTCGATCTACCAACCAACACCTACACCCACACCAACTCCCTTACGATGCAACCGTCGATGTCATTCATTCATTTACAGGAAGGATGATTAGCGATGTTCGCTGTATTTCTCTTATCTAAAATTTAACTAGAAGGTTGGTATTAAGAAAAAACAATTTTAATTTTAAGTGAACTGTTCCCCATATTAGAAGACGACTTTAAAGCTTTTAATGCTTTTGCATGATACAAGTAGAAGTCTTCTAATATAAGATGCGATTTAATAGAGAAAAAGCAGGTTGCACGATTAAATATATATTAAAAGCGTTGAGTCATTGTTTACGTTATAGTCAGTTTTAGAATATATTTTGTTTTTCTTGTCGCATTCGCTCTTTAAATTCATGAAAATCCATATCAGATTTTGGATCAAAATGACCAATTGAGTGTTCATCATTAGATAGATAATCGAAATATTCATAATGTACTCGATCATCTCTTCCATACATATAGCATTGAATGGTAATACAAGGTTTGCCATACAAATCAAGATGCTTCAATTGATGTGTTTGATTTAGATTTGGTGACAGCCATGTCACTCTTCCTTCATGACAAATTTGTTCAATAGGTTTATATTGATTTACATTTAATGTTAATGCAGGATAAAGTCTCACCAAAATTTCACCGGAAAGTACCCGAATAATAGCATATGCATTACTATGATTGTGAATCGGACTATGATGCCCTGGAGGCCAAACTTCGATGACATAAGTGTGGCCAGGTGCGTTTCCTATTTGTTCACCTACGGTAAGACGTAAATAAGTTGCCTTTGGATTTGGTTTGCCAAAGCGCTCGGCTTTCTCCTTTAATTTTTTGTAACACCAACCTTTCGGATTTTTTATACTACGCGCAATGACATCCGTTAAATCTGGAAACTCATCTGTGTTTAATTTGAAATTGATAACACTATAATATAAATCACGAAGTGGTCTTTCTAATTTCAACTCTGAAATAGCGGTATGACAAGTTGTATGTTCAAGAGTATATTTTTCTTGCGGAATAACAAATAATGACAGTTCATGTAAAACAGGACTTGTTCCAATGAAAATACGAAAGTCTTCTTTTAAATTCTTTAATTCCGTCAGCATTTGATCATTGTTATTCACTTTGAAATGCAAATAATAGATTTCTTTCATCAATTGTGATTCATTTTCCGGAAGTTCAATATCGAAAACAGAAAAGAATGGACGAACTTCTCCAATGCCATATTTAACATTACGAGCAATTGAAAATAGACTAATCCAATATCTATGCCAATATCCATCTTCAGATTGAAGTGTATAAATGGTGTCAGTTGAAGTATATGACTGTCCGGTGCTTGTACTTAATTTAACTTCATTTTGATTTACTGAAAGTATGATTGAATAGGCATTTTGGTCGTAAGCATCTTTTTTATTCGATAACTGCAGTTCGAAAGACACTGATTTCCGTTGCATGATTTCCACAGTACCTTGACCTGCAATTTCAAGAGTATTCGAACAACTATTTGATTTCCACGGACACCAATGCTTGTCTGGTTGTGCAAAGCGCTCGACTTCAGTTTCATCATTTCCGGATGAATAACGATCATTTTTTGGTGGTGTAGCTGCAACATCGACTAGAAGCAAAAACAAGAAGATAATATCTGTCATATAAATAAAAAATCATCTTGAGAGCGTGAGTGTGGGTAATCAAAGAACAATCAACCACACTTGAAGAAGACGTCCAAGCTGATAATGGTGTGAACGAAGCGGACAACACTTGTTCCCCCTAGCGCAAGACTGACAGATATAGGAAAAGCTAATCCGAACATTCGGTGACCACAACGGACGATACGCTCAAGCGATATGATAATAATGGCGCATATGGCTAGTGCTCTTTAACTAAGATAAGAATATTCAAACTGACCTGCTGGCGGTCGAGAGGCTGTTTGCATTGTTTGCGCATCCACCAGCACAATATCCAGTATTTCAGTTGGTCTTGTTTTAACCGCTTCCAATGTTAACTTTTTCCATGTAATCATTTCACCTTGATATTCATTAAAACGATGATACGCATCATCAGCTCGTCTCCAATCACCTGAACACTTCTTTGACGGACCATTTTTGCAATTTTGTACTCCGTCGTATCTCCACCAACAATTATTAAAAGCACATGTTATTGGATTGACATATTCCTTACATACGGGACATTTGGTTATCTTATCAAGTGAATCGTCCAACATACTGACTTTCTTATAACCAATGGGCATAATAACTGTACCTTTATAAGCTTCACACTTCTTGTTTTTACATAAACCTTCAAGACATAGACCATGTCTAGCTCGTCGCCATCGTGGAGCTGTTCTAGACCATCCGATTCGTTTCAAAGCTTCGTTATCACTGACATCGACAAATTTTAACCCAATCAAACCACCAAAACCGCGGTAACGTTCTGTACGATCGACTAATTCCAGTGCCGAATCTGACTGTATGTCGTAATCTTCTAATGTAGCTTCATCGTATAGTATTTCTTTATCAAAGACAAGCCACAGCATTTCTGGATCAGAATAACCAGCTTTTTCCCCCACAGATTTCTTCAGCTCTCCAATGATAATAGAAGGATCAACATCAAAATCATATTCTCGACCAAGTCCGGTGTACGTTTTAACGTGAATCTTCATGTTTGTGTCGCTAATGAGATAAAACGAATTTAATAATATGCAATAGTCTTATTTTCAACTAAAAATCATTGCTAGTAATCACCTTGCACACATTATTTTTCACGTGTTTCAAACAAAAAACTCGGATTAAAGGACTTCTAGTGAATGTTACGTTTCAAAATCCTATGAATTCTTAGTCTACGATGTGGGTGAACTGTGAACGCCTATCGTCTCTTAAATCACACCACAGATCTACAACTTAAATATTCAACGAAAGTGATTTCTCAACTGATAAAATATCTTAAATGAGAAGGGAAAATCAAAAAGAACGGTTCTTTTCAATAATTTCTTTTTCTTTTTATTCTTTTTCTATTCTCTCAGTTATCTTAATATCCATACTTACGAAAATAATATATTAACCAGACCAGATAATGATCACCAGAACGATTGAAAAATAAGTAATCGTATTTTATCTGAAATAGAAACAAATAAATTGAATACAAAGCTCAAATACAATTATATTATCAAATTTTATAGGAAAACCAAATGTTTGTTCATCAAAATTCGATTCTATTTTCAATTCGGATCATTTCAATTCAGTTTTGTGTCCAGTATATCTTTGCAAAAATGAATTTTCTTCTGAATCGCAATCATCAGAAAAAAAATCTAGAATAATCCTATTTGATCTTATACACATAATGTTATATAACAATAGAAATTTTTGTGAAACACGAATTAAAAGGAGTGTTGAAATGTTTAACGGTAAAAATCCTACTCATCTCCCCTCTCCTCTTTAGACCGTAACAGGCATTATTAATTTATATTAATTAAGTAGCATTAGTTATTTGTCATTAATCAATGAATATGAAATGATCATTAATAACTAATTCGTATGACTTAATTTGTAATAACTAGGGTGGGTGTAGGTGAGGATGTCTTATTCTTATTCCAACATTCGTACCCACCCACCCTTATTTACTTTCCAATTTCTTCAACAATATCATAATAATCATAGATATTTAAATGTTTAAGTGTAGCTCGTTCTGGTTGACGACCAGTTGTATTTATATTTCCATTTCGAATAGTTAATGTAATAGATCGATTGCTAATAACAACTGAAACATTTTTATCTTTTGATAACATTACGTTATAGGTAATGGACTACTATTATAAAGAATTTTTATAACAATTGGTTCACTTTAATCATAATTAAGAACATCTTGATATTTTGGTGGTAAACGAAATCTTGGTGGTGCTAGAAATATAAAAATACAGAATTGAAAAATTTATTTTTATTTATATATTTAAACTTACATCGGACATTAAGATTACAACGACACATTCTTGAACCACCTTTATTACGTACTTTAATGCTATATTCATCAAGATCATCTGGTGTAGCTTTATCAATAACCAAAATACATTTATCACCATCACGTGTTATAGTATATTTAGCATCTTGAGCGATTTCTTTCGTACCTGTGACCCCAATTATTTATTACAAAGAAATAGTTTGATATAACTAATTAACGAGAAAAAAAAGAAACAAACCATTCAACACTAGGTTTAGGTGTTCCAATAATTTCACATTCTAATGTAATTGTTTTACCTTCATTACATTCAGCATCTTTTAATTTCTTAATAAATTCTGCTGCAGTAGTAGATGTATTCGGATCTTCAACCTAATAAAATAAAAAATCTTATTTAGAAATATTGAAAGAATTTATTTCTATATACTCAGTTGGTGTAGTTGCATCAGATGGTGTTCCTTTTCCAGCTTCATTTTTAGCTAGAACACGAAATTCATAAATATGATCTTCTACTTAGGGTGTGGCTGCGGGTAGGTCAGTGAATGTGACTGTGTGTTTGAATATAATACCAACTTCATACCCACACCCACATCTACACCCTTATTGATGTATTTTCATCATTTGCTTTTTTCGTAAGAAAAACAGTTGTTAAAATAGCCATGATTCAAATAATATCAAGAATAGAAAATAGGATTCGTGTTAATTTTCTCATGTCAAAATATCCAGATCTAGTAGAAAAGATTCTTCTCATCATTTACTGGAATTAATTATATACATACAATATCGATGGTTGCATTGGATCAGCACGAACTGGATGCACACTCTAAAATGAACAAGAAAAGAAGATTATATGATGCAATGTTTTTCTTGATCTGAATAGATTACATTGTAAACATTCACTTTGTTACTCTTCATATAGTTGAGATTGAATCCAAATTTCAATACTCTCACAAACTAAAATTTACAAAGAATCATCTTCTCGTTTAGAAATCTGCACTGAACAGAAATCTTATTGGCAAAATGGTAATCTGTTTATTTGAATATTCTTTCGATATCAGCTTTCTTACTGTTAATCTATACGTAGACTAACGTCTGACTTTTCTCGCTGTTAAATTTACTCAACTAAAACAAAAGATCATTAAAAAAATTAGATTTATTATAATTGCGAGTGTGAAAATACCAGAAAGTTATGTTCTCTTAAATAATCTGTTTAAAGTAAAATATTTGCAGCAGAAAAAAATCATATATGTTAATAAAAATGATTAATTCGCTTCCTTTGTCAAGATTGATTTTGTGAAAAACATTGTCAGATGTGAGTTGTCATTGCCTATGACAATAATTTTTTTTAAGTCGGATGTTAATTACTTAATCAAATATCAAAGTCAGTGCTTTTCAAAAGAAATAAAATGTTTTACTGTGCAAGATTTATTTTGAAAAATTAACAATTATTACAATGTCTATTAGATGAAGTTCTTTGTGTTTAAATCTATAATCTTTATTCCCCGATTGAATTTAATGCAAAAACGGTATATACCAGAAAACAAGATTTTACCATTGAATAGCTAGATTCGAAATAAGAGTCAGTTTGAACGAGAATGAACGAAAACGATATTTGTTGTGATCTAACTACAAAAAATTTGGTTAAAGAAAACAATACCTTAGGATATTGGAACTTTTATGAAATATTATGCCTGTGAGAATATGCCGCACTCAATTGAATAGCAATAAGTATTGTGTAAACAATATAGAAAACTAATCACTTATTCTTATCGATTTGTATATGATTTCTGAGAGCTAAATGATTTAAAATGAGTTGTTTTCCTTTGAAATTAGCATCGGAGATATAAACTACACTCTTACTCTCATTCGTTTTTGTTTGAAGATTACTAGTCGATAAATCCTACTATTCCATATATTCTTATCATCTAAATTTATTGTTAACATGTTCTGCTATTACAGTGATCTTTTGATAATAATCTGATGACTAACAATCGAGTCACAGCAGAACTTCATACATTCCTAAATACATTTGATATAGTGAAAACGCTTCGCTCACATAGATTTATTTTCTCTCAGGAAATCCTGGATTTCCTTCAGAAAATACTGGTTTTCAATATTTTTCTTTTTTGCAAAAATCATGTTCTTATGTTGGCTAGAGCATTCTATTTCGAAGAGATTGTCGATATTTACAGTAGATATTAGCTTCCATATTACAGAATTGTTCTTAAATCTGACATAAATGGAAGATCGTCAATTTATTATTTCTATCTCAATACTTTTTTTGCTGCAAATAATTTGCAATGACGCGTCACAATTTATGCGATGGAATTGTTCTCTATATGAAGATCATCTATTGAGTGCTTCTGCTATAATCTTGAGGGTGCGTGTGGGTGTGAATGATGGTGGTCAAAGTGAAGACACCCACACCCATACCCTCAAGAATAATGCTACTTTTGTGCAATAGTTGATCTTCAGTATGTAATAAACAAAACTATTTACCTGATGCTTCATTGTTGAGAGTGAACAGAAGAATAATGATAAATACGTAGATATTCCACATTATTCAGCAAGGTTTGTTTTGATAAATTAGTTAACTAATAAAATAATCTTCTTTTTCTCCTTCTTTGTCTTCGATGAAAACAAAATGACACTCGTTGTAAATTTTCTCTCTAGTTATATATCTCTCTTTTTCTCTCATTCATTTTTTTCTACGTAATACACAAAGAGAAAAAATAGTGTTCTAGAGAAGGTTTTGTTCGTCGTAGGTAAGATAAAAAAATAGATTTTAGATTAGATTAATGAATAAAATTCATGATTTTATTTCGTATTTTCTATTGAATTTTATTGTTTTCCAAAGCATAAAATGGAATTTAAATTCAAAATAATCCTTTTTTTTCTGATGTTCTAGAAAAATCTATGATTTTAGTGAAGAAGAATGTGATGAAGAGAAAAGAGAATTGATCAATATCGGTGTTAATCATCAAGCGTGTTTTCAATGAAAATACGATATTGAAAATCATCGTCAATAAATGGTTGACGTTAATCAATAAAACATGATTAGTTTGATATATTTTTATTTGAACCTGTCAAGTAATTTGCTTTGTCAGGACTCACTTTTAATCATGTTCTTTGTTTCTCTATGCGCAATAACTATTTTTGTGAAAAATTTCATTCTCTCGGTATTTCGAACTGTTTTAGAATAAAAATTCATCAGATATATAAAAATAGTCTGGGTGTGGAGGAAAGATGACTACAATCTCTACATCTTTGCTCATGCGCACATACTCACACCCTTCATTATATATAAAGCATTGTTAACTAATTGGAAAAATATTTATCTTACAAAATAATTCAAAACTACCAAAGTTTGATTTTTCAAACAACTTATTACTATGTTAAGACTATTTATTTTTTTTTACCACAAAAGTCAAAACACATAACAATTATTTGTATGCCCCACATTCATACCCACACCCTCTTTAAATTCGATCCAACTCATTTTTAATCACATAGTTAATTATACTCATTCACTTCATTTCTATTTGCATTCATATATTGTACATGAATAAAACAAATATTTACATATAGCATACATAATCTTTACTATTCAAAATTTTTCTTTAATAGAAAGAGACTATTGCAAACTTGGTTATAGTAATATAACTATATGCAATATAGGATATAAACATACCTGATGGGTCCCTTAAGCAAGGACGAAACATATCGTGTGATGCTTATATTCTCTAACTATTGAATTTTCTGTAATAAGAAACCTCTGCTTTGCTTTACGTTTATATATTAAACGTTGGTAGATACATATCTTGCCATGTTAATATATGAAATAATGCAGTGCTAAACGCTACCTGAAGAGTATTGCCCTTGAGAAAGGACGAAACTATAGTCGTAGCAAATTCTTAACATAATACTCACCCTCACCCTCAAGATAGTTTACAAGCTGGTGTGTTTTTCAGGAGAATTATCTACCATCTGAAGATTGATCTATTATAAGATCGAAATTCTGGACTTGTGGTAGTTATCTTATTAAACTCACCGCCAAGGATAGATTGATCTGTTTTTCGATTGATTTATATAAAGGTAAAAACAAAAACAGATGTTTAATCTAGATTATGTCGAGTTAATGATTTTATTGACCATACTTAAAATTTTTATAGGGCATTTATAATTTTTAGAGTAAAATTCAAAAATTGACTCTGCAACGTTTTATTGAGTTGCTCGCCTTACTTCAATTGTTGCTATTCTGTTCCTTGCTTGATCCAATGCTTGAAATTTTATTTTATCAAAATAGTGGCTATATATACTTTCCAATTGACGTTTGTAGTTTGTAAGTTCTTCATATTTTATTGAATTTATTTCGCCAACCAGATCGAAGTATCCTGAATCTGAGCTACCACCTTCTAGATCTTCTCCTAATCTGTCCATGATTTGAATACCCATCATATCAGGTCTTAACGGATCAGTGAAGCACCACCACTTCAACAAAATCATCTTTAATCTCTGGCTTACAGCTGCTTCTTTAAATTTTTTCACAGCCTCTTCAATTTCATTAAACCGATCAATTATATGTGGTATATGTACTGCATTGTATTCTGCTAATACCAATCCAAGAGCAATATATACCAGACATAGTTCTTTAAATAGCGTTCCCATGGCTAGTGCATGATTAATGTTATTTAAAAATAAGCTTAAAAGCACTCCACATCTTGAGATACAATAGCTAATATCAGCATATGCATCCTTCCATCCATTTATTGCCATACAATGTTGAATTAATTTCAATTTTCTTTTAATTTCATCAAATTCTGCTGATAGTTGCGTATATAAATATCTACCAATATGTCTTTCGATTTTTCTATCTATCGGATCTTGGCTATCTTCTACAGCGGCCGTAATATAACTGATCGCATATTTTACTAAATTTTTCATAATATCATTAGCTGGCGCATGGTCGATTCCTGAAACAATATAATTAAATATTTTTTTCCGAGTATTTTCTATTTCAATCTCTTGATCTTGAATATCAAATACTTGTTGGAGATGAGGAAATGTTAACCTTGCATTTTCCGCTGTCATTGTAACAGAACTGGAAGATCCTCCCATAGTATAAACTGATTATTCAATCTATTATACCGTAAACGTTGCGTAAAAGTATTTGTGAAATCTGAAAAGTACAAATTTTATGCAAAAGACGGGGGATAATAAGCTACTTGTAGCGGCCTACGGCTGTTTCTCTGTAAAGAAACGTTCATTTTTGCTGCTCTTGATATGTTCTGATCAGAAAAATTCTGACGAACCGAATGGTGTCTCATTTCAAACCACTAAACCCCTTCTTTGATTGAAAATCACTCTATGCAAAAAACCAGTTTTTTCATAGGTGCTTCGTGCTTTCCAAGGTTATAATTGTATCAAAACTCACTCATAATGAAATCCAAATAGGGTTACCTTGTAGCATTCTCCTAGTTAGTCGTTAGGGCTATTCTTAGTTGGTGAGTCCTTCTTGTTGTGTGTTCATTCGTTATAAAAACTCACATTACTGCACTTCAAAACCTATCTCGTAAAATCCTAATGAAAATATTCTATCGCTTTGAATAAAAATTTCGGCACTTCTATCAAAATTGCATTCTACAATGTAACACATACGTTTCAACAAGCTTTTTCACTCGAAATATGAAAGTACATAACCTTATTCAAGATAGGGATGCACTAGTTCCAGCCAAGACTGAGCCATCAATCATCTGAAGATACCATTGGGTCCTCAATGAAGAGTCCTCATTGAGGTCCCCATGGTATCTTTAAATAATAGGAGATGAGGACTGAAGGGTACCTTCATATAATAGAAGACGAAGGTGAGAGTGTTGAGCATTACCACAATACACAGAATATAACTCTGTCTTACTTTGCTACACAGACACTCACCTTCTAACAACACCAAAAGCCACTCAGAACTATAGTACTAAATGTACTGAAGCATTTCGAAGAATCTCATGACTCATTGAATTCTCAAAGCAGATCGTCAACAAAGGTCTCATGCACTCGGCTCATCAATACATCTCGCGTTATTTCAATATCTCTACAATAGCTTTATGTTACATATATTACGACCTTTATACTAATACCTGTGGCATTGAAAAGATTCAAGCAACATCGAATTATCTAATATTGTCTTAGCTGTATCCAATCTCATCTTTGCGATGCGTACTAGAACGGGTGGGTGTGGGTGTTGGTGTGGATGCGAGTGAGAGTGTGGGTGAGGATGAGGGTGAGGGTGAGGTGAGGACGAGGGTGCGGGTGTGGGTGAGGGTGAGGGTGTGGGTGGCAGAAGAATATAACATTTACACCCACATTCTTGTTATCTCAGTTTCTCATCGTTCTAAAACATTCGTTTACACAATAATTTATTGGATCAAATGATTTACTAGCCAGTGAAAGTTTAGTGAATAATATTAGGCCGAGAAAAACAATAGTTTGATGATGACATCCAGAATTTTTCGACGTTTATGGCGTCGACATTTTTTCTTTCGGTCTTTTTACAGCCAA